CCTCATATAGTCTGACTATTCACATTGATTTACTTAACCACATCTTTTTGTGTTCGCTGATCTTCTCAAGTTCATGGTGCACTGTTTTATTTATGTGTTCCACAGTTTTTGGGAAAAAAGAAAACAGTGATACAGAATATTTTTAAAAGGTGGTGTGCTTGAACATACCTGGGTCCATGCAACTGTAGGGACAGGATTACCGGTATAGGGGACTACAATTTTGAACTCTTCCCCAACTTTAGCCTTGATATCTTTGACTGATGGCATCAGATCACGATTAATTCTTGGTGCAACTGGAAAAAAAAAACACATACATTGAAGACACCTTGCATATGAGAGAGTATGAACAACACGTTTGCATGGCCCAGTGATCAAATTTTGTGCTGCCATTGGTACATGGTCATTTGAATAGTGTATGAGAACATATCATGCTGGTTACTCCGTCCTTCCAGAAGGTGAAGCAGCATTGTGGTTAGATGCTTGGCTGTCTGCCCAAAGGTCCTGTGCTCAAATGAGCACTAAAACTGACCTAGGTTCAGGTAAAGACACCAAGTGTGATGCTGACCACATCACCAGCCAAGTGTTGACTGATCTGTTACAAATATGAATCTAGACTTACATTCCCAATATACCAATGGTGTCAAAAGGGTCCTTCACTCTAATGACTCGTCTTTTTTTTTTTAGAGATGTTGAGGACATATTACATAAATCAATAGTGAAATATGCCAAGTCTTTTCTACTGCTTTGTAACGGAGACCCAGCCTTTAGTACAACTCAAGAAAAGCTGACACAAGCTAGATATCTTCTTCTGTTCTGCACACCCCACTGACGCATGAATTGTTGCTGAGAATTTTGTTCTGTAAAAACATGATGATTATGAGAAATAGGATGGGTCGAGGACTTTGGGGGCGGTGAATCAACATCACTCGCCAGAATGATAGACTTGGGAGTTAAGATCAGCATAGCAAAAAACGAGACGCACACAAGGCAAATCAGAGGACTTGTTAATCAACACAGAACTGATACTATTAGCCCTCGGACGTTGGGGCTCATACTAAGGGGAAGATCTGAGCACCTATAGACATGTCCAGAGTGCAAGGATGCTAATCCAACTAACTAACTAACCAACTAATGATGATTATGATACGGTCGCCATCAGCATATCTCAACAAAAAAATCATCATAGGGCTAAAAGAGTTTATTTATATGTGTTTCTTATGAAATAATGCAGTAATAACAGTATAAAGTTTATCCACCACTGATGCACACATCTTTGATGATAATTATGTTTTGTAATGGGTCTAATTTTATTAACAATGTGCCGTCTCCACAATAAAGGTTAGCTACAGTTTGCCTACTGCTGTCTTTGGGAATACTTATGGCTGGAGGCCCCAACAGCTTCCATCATGCCACAGTGTGAAAACCACATGGTGTATTCAAAAAAGAAGAGAATTTTAACTTTTGGATACAAACAATTAAAAAAAAATTACATTACTGTGTTATTTACTAATATTGTGGTGTAGTTTTTGAGCCTGATTATTTAATTCTGCATGCTTTAGTGCTGTGGCCATGGACTTTAAAAGTTACTAACGAATCGAATCGGGGTCTCTCAAAACCTACTACTCTAGGATAAGAAAACTTAGATGCATTCACTAACCTCTAAGCCACAGATTTGCAAAAAGACCTACTACACGATGATAATGACGAGACTGTCTCTCCCGTGGCATCTGTTGCAACATTTCTTTATATTTTTTTTATAAAGAAACAAGCAATGCTCTTCTTCCTCTCAGCATTTACAGGCTCTAAATTCCAATGGTAAGTTCTAGTTTTTAATCTAATCCTAAACTTTGGTCCTTATCCAGAACTTCAGTTTTGAGTGCACATCTCTTTTACAAATTTGGCTTATCTGTATGCAGACTACTGGTTTTTTTCCCTCTTATGGAGATGCATTCAAACTTTGAAGGAAACACCCTCCTAATTAGTCTCCTCCTACAACATGCTTTTAAGGTGGAGGAGTAGGGGGTGGGGACAATATGTATGTTCTATGTTCTTCAAGATACAGTTTATGTAGCTGAAATGGTGGGATTATAGGATAAAGAGAACACTGCAAACCTGGTGCTGGCCGGGCTTTGATGTTGCCACTTCCGTCACTGAATTCACCAATACCAGCATTATTAACAGCAGCCACACGGAACTCATATTCCTTGCCCTCCTGCAGACCTTTCACAGTGAACTCTGTGTCTGGGATGTCAGCAACATTTACTCTGAGGAAAGAACAAATCAATTCAGTGTTTCAGTTTACATGTTATGCATACTGTAGACAGTATTATCTCTTCTTTTTCTTCTTCCCATTCACCAGCTGTAAACTCTAGTGGAAAGTTCTGGGTGTTTATCCACCTCCATACTTTAACCTTGTTCCTGAAACTGATTATTGCTTGAACATTCATTTCAAGATAAGGTTTATAAAAAAGCAGGCTCTTGATTCTTGACTCTCAGACTGATGTACTCTGTCTTCGAAGGATGTCCCCAATTGGTGGACTTCCACAACATACTTGTAGGGGAAGCATTGGGTCTAATCTGGTTTTCCCCATAATGGGGCTCAGGAATCCACATCGAGAATTATCTTTCAAAATCTGATATTGAAAACTTTAAGAAAGTATAGACAAAAGAAAAAGGCAAAAACTCAAAAGACAAGATAAAAAGAATGGAAATAATACAAACACAACAGAAACAACACAGAAAAGAAAAGACACAAGTACAACAGACAAGGCAAACACTATTCATTGAAAAGACAAACACAATATAAAGACAAACACAATTGAAAAAAAAAAAAAAAGCAAAAACAATATAAACAACAGAAACACAATAAAAAGACCAAACACAAGAGAGAAGTTTTTAAAAAAGAACAAACACAGCAGAAAAGCCACACAACACAATAGAAAGATTTAAAAAAAAAAAGACAGCACAAACAGATGGAAAGAGACCATACTAGTTATTAAAAGTGAATGGAAGTTATTCAGTTTTAGGCAGTGGATTCCATTTCCTCAAGACATCAAAAACAATGAAATGATAAGAAATTACATAGATTTTGACAGTAAGTGTTTTGTTTTTGGGGACAAGAGCTTCGCCATATAAATGGGGCAAAATAAGAATATAAATCTAATCTTTGATTCTGGTGATCGAGTTTGATGGCAAAACATGACAGCCAATGCTTTTCGGCATTGTACATGATGTGTCATGTTATCACAAACTAATGTCACTGCATAATGGGCATTTCCATGATTGCTCAATCCTCTAATGAAGCAGCCACTCCAAAGTACCTTTACTAATTGTCCCGCGTGGAGTTGGTTATGGTCTCTCCTGTCTGCACCTCATAGATGTGCTTCCCCATGCTTTACTTCCAGGTCATGCAATCATGTTAGTGTCAGACATTTGTCCTTACCCATTAGCCTATACAATCAATGGTTAGGAATAACAAATTTGACCAAATGTCTTCCTGATTTTATTGATGCATTGCTTACTAATTGGTCTGTTCTTTGTTACCTGTTAACCTGGAATGTCCAGATGTGTAGTTCCAATATAGGGAGGTTAACTGCAAATTTTCTACTTATTAAGAACATAAATTACAAGTATGTACAACTTTTCCCATGACGACAATGATAACTTAGCTTGAAAAAAAAAAATGTTAACCAACAAAGATGAAAGGAGGCTGTTTTTTTAGACAAGCAGACAGACAGAACAAGTATGAGAGATACAGAGAGTGACACAAAGATACAGGAATGCATTAGAAGTTTAAAAAGAGACAGCAGGAGACATGTTTTTTAAAGCTATAACTGACTTTGTCCATTTGCTTTCTCCCTTTTCTCTCTTCTCTAGCACATATCCTGTGACAGGAGAGCCACCATCTTTCTTTGGTGGATTCCAAGACACAGTGATAGAATCCTCTGTTGTAGTCTCACACTTAGGGGCACTAGGTGCTTGGGGAGCATCTGCATAAACAAGTAAATAAAACAAGGATAACTGTGGAATCATACATATCTTTTATCTATGAGAAATAACTTCTTTGTAACAAGAATAACAAAAGAAATTTAAATCAATAATGACAAACTTTGCCTTGATAAGTTGTATTTGGGACAGTCTTGGAGGACATGGTCTGTTGTCTCAGATGTCAATCCACATGTGCACTTGGCTGATTCGCCGATTTAAAATATTCTGTACATGTGGCTGCAAAGTCACAACAATTTCTCCCAGTAAAGCTTTATCTTCTTAAGCTATGCTGTGGGTTGTTTTTCATCATATCTGTCCACATATTTGTTTTTTCATGAACTTTCAATCACTGTTGACACAATTTCTTCCTGCCATGATGTCAGTGTGTCTAACATCTTCTCCCTTAGTCTCCCTCTGTCTCTCTCTTCACCTTCGCCACTGTCATAAAATACCTTTTAGTCTACTTGTCAACACTTATGACATGCCTGGAGGATGTGGACTGTATTACCTTCTGGTATGTGCAACCAGCTCTCTTTGGGTGTTAATCTACAGAATGTTGAGATATTTTCATTACACTTTTATGCTTTATGCTTGACTGTCAAATGTACTGATTGCATGTGAATGCTGTTGGCTTTTCCACGACTGTAGTATATTTCAGTTTTTTTTTTTTTTTCACAAGGGACACTTACAGGCATTCTGTGTGGCTTTCACTAGCACATGAATAGAGCAGTTATGAGTTCACCAGTTTGCTATAAAGCTGGGATTGTGACAACAACAATAACAACAACAGTTATCTTTTTATGTCCGTAGGCTTCTATAAAACATCATCTCAGCAGCTTTCCTGTATTTTGCCACTAATCCACTGATTAACTTATCTACAGATTGTCCATGATCCACTCCCCTACATCATGATAAGCTCAGACTCAGTTCAACCCTTTAGAACAATCTTATTTCAACTGGCAAAGGTATATCTTAAAAAATACTGTTCACTAGAGCTTACATATATAAATCAACTAACCATAAGGCAATTTAGCCAGGATCGGAGTTTCTGTCTCCAAGTATTCACTAACACCTTGCGGATTCTCAGCAGCAACTCTGAATTCATATTTGGTGCCCGGCTCTAAGTTTCTAACCTGGCAAGTGGGCTTGGTCAAGAAGCTGCTTACTTTCTGCCATCTGCCGGTTCCAGCCTGCCAGAGAAAATAAAAAGTATGGAGAAACACAAAACATCTGACATAAATCATGATTGTTCCTCCAATTCTGAATTTCAGTCTTGCTCCATGAGTTGATTCTTGGATGCATATTAATTAATTAATTAATAGATTCAGCTTATTTGTGTGCAGACTGCTGGGTCCTTGTCTCTCAGGCAGAGGTGCTCTGGAAGTGTCAGTCATATGTATGTTGGCCTGGCTTTTGGTTGGAAACTTGCTTCTAGGGTGAGACAGGTGTAGACAAATCTTGACCAGGTGAGCCCTGGTCTCAGTGCACCACCATGTGTGGTTCAGTGTCTCTGCATCCCAGTAACTACTGCAATAGTTTGGAAGATCAGTGGCATGAACAAGAGAGAGGAAAGCAGTAAGAGTTGAATACTGACTGATTCTTTTATTATTGCATTAAAGAAAAAAATAAGTCTCTTTCTTCTTCTTCAAGTCCATGCCGAGTGGCGTTGGCAGTCATGTCTATCCACAACCTTCTGTCTCATGTACTTTCAATCAGCTCAGACATAGAGGATCCTCCATGCCATGATGTCAATCAATCCAGCATCTTTTCTCTCAGCCTCAGATTGTCTCTCTCTGATGCGGGCAATCAGTTCTCTTCATGAGTCAGCTTCTTTCAAGACATCTTCATTTCTCTTTGTTATTTGTTCCAGGTATTCTCATCATTTCTCTAAAAAACCACATCTCCGAAGCTTCCAAAAAAGTTTTCATGAATTTATCAAATTCACTTTCAGGATTTATTTATATAGCTTTTAAGAATTCTCTTTATCGTCTTAATTGACAAAGACAGGTTGCATAAAATAATCTTCATTTTGTAAAATGCTGCCATTGCTTGAGCTATTCTACATTTAACTTCTTTAATATATCTTCCAACTGATGTTATCCGGGTACCCAAGTATTTAAACATATCCACTTGCTTGAGATTTGTCCCATTTACCTTGCTGTTGTATTTTGAGGGTCAGTCTTTGTAATTACCATTATTGTAATATAAGCACAAGAAAAGATGCTATATGTAGAAGAATGTTGCCTGCGGAGAGGAATAATCACTCATGCCGGTTAACATAATGAGGATTATGATGACAGCAAATGTCTGTGAAGAAGATCAAGAGAGTAGAGTAACTTCCCCTCTGAAATTAATGGCATACCTTTCGTTTTTCTACAATATAGTTGGCAATGTTCTCTCCTCCATCGTCTGCTGGTGGTTTCCAGTTCAAAGTGAGTGATTCCCCATCGATTTCACTGGCTTCCAATGGTCCCTGAGGTGTTCCTGGTTTGTCTGGTCAAGTAAATATGTAAAAGATAATAAAGAATACATTAATCTTTGTTGTGTTTGGTCCTGGCTAAACATTTTCAATATCATCTTTATAAAAATGTATGCATAGGCAAAAGGTGCCAGTACCATAAAGTATCTTTAAAAAAAAGGTGCTGGTACTCACCACAAAGTGTCTATTAACAATTACAAAAGGGCTAACGTTAAAAAAATTAATAATTATGCATACAGTTGCGTAGCACCAGAAAAAAAAAATACCTGCTTATGAATGTAATTATGAAAACAGTGAAAATATAATATTATTTACGTTAATTAAAATTCAGAAAGAAAAAATCCTGGAGTAAAGTTTGTGTCCATCAAAAGTTAATTATAGTTGGTAAAAATTATTATTTGGATTATAGGGAAAAAAAAAATAACAAAGACTGAAAAAGATTTTCCACCCAGAGATTTTCTATTCACAGATTTAAAAAAAAATATCAGAACGCTCAGACTGACTCAGCCTAAAATGGATACCAAGAATATTTTGAGAAGTAAAGGCAGGCCATATGCTATTGGCTGCAGAACTCATCAAGTGCAGATTTTTCCCTATCAGTTCAGGTTGTCCAATACTTATGACCCAAGTTCTGTTCCAACTCACAGGTCCTAAATTGAACTGGAAATATTTGTCAACACTATTTTCACTCAAAAGGGTTATCAAAACTGCACATAATACATGAAAATGTAATCTATGTACGTACAATTATTTTATATATTGTGAAAAATACATAATATGTAGTCTATTGCATCAGTTCAGGGAACTTGTTTTTACCCAACCATTTTAATCATTCATGCGTGCATTCGTGCGCACGCGCAAGCATCTGCATGTGCGTGTGTGTGGGGGTGGAGGAGTGTGATAAGTGCGGATATTCCTTAGTTTCACAGATCATAAGTGAAGAAAGTGTACAGGAGTAGAAACATATATTTAATAGCCTTCAAGATGTGAATTTGTGTTTGTAATATTTGCATTATTTCTCTTAGCAGCATGTAATTTTTTTTTTCCTGTTTCACTAAATGTTTTGTAAATTAAAGTCAGCAAACCTCAGTTTTTACCTCTGTTTACCTCTGATGCATCAGGCATACAGTGGCAAACCTTCATATTTATAGACCAATCAGCACTCAACTGGTGATGTGGCCATCATTACGCCAGCTACCTTTTTTTTCCAGGAAATGATTTGATTTACTAAATATTTTTTTCTTCACAAATTAATTGCATGTTTACAAAAATCTTAAGTTTCTTTTACGAACAAACTGATTCTTATTTTGAACTTACCAAGAACATTCACATTCACATTTAGGGTCTCAGTCCCTTCACTGTTCTTCAGTGCCAGCTGGTATTTTCCTGTATCACCACGTTTAGCCTTTGCACAGTGTAGTATTGCATGGTCGTTAGTTAACTGAAACAAAAAAAAAGTAGAAGTATGCTAAAATCACAGTATTATGGAACACAATATACAGGCTCCTAAATAGCTAGGACCAACTAATCTCTCTTATTTTCAGAAGTCAGCCACAGACTCAACATATTTTAATAGTCACACTGAATAACTTGTTATGGTAACGTAAGTAAAGGACCTTTTTTCACATCCTTCAGGTGTATTGGGCATATAGTGTTAGATTTGTATTGTACAGAGCAATCAGCATTTGGGGTGATGTGATCATCATGCGGGCTGCCTTTACTTCTGAGGACCTTACCTAATACCAATTGAATGCTGAGTCAACCTGGAAGCCAAGGTAATTATTTAAAAAAAAAAAAAAACAAGAACAAGAAAAGTCTGGCTCTTTTTGGATTTGAACTCGTTACCTTCAGATCTGAGGGCCCCATCTAGCTACTACAACATGACATCTCCCTGAATGGCTTGTTATAATTTATAAATATTAGAATTACCACACACACACACACACAAAAACACACAAAAAAACTATTCTAGATGATGGCAGAAGTGAAACAGAAATCAAAAAGAGAATTGGAATAACTAAAACAATCTTCCATAAGATACACAAATTATTGACAACACATTAAGAATGAGAAACGTCAAATATTATGTATATTCAATTCTGCTGTATGGTGCAGAAACTTGGAACATGAACAGGCAACTAGAAGTTTGAAATGAGTCTCTTGAAATGTGGATATCAAGAAAAACAGGCTGTATTTCATTGCAACAAAAAAACCTATCAAAAGATTCTGGAAAGACTGCGGATAACAAGGGAATTATTGAAAGAAATAAAAAAGAGAATTATAAAATAAATTAAAAAGAAACAAGTCAAATACTTTGACCACTTTTAAAGGCATAATATGCTTTTAAAAACCAAACTGGAGGGATAGGTGGAGGACAATGGAACAAGAGGTAGACAATGATACAAGTGGAAGTGAACATTAAGAGATGGAGAGAGTGTACAACCAAGACAAGAGACTGAGCGTACTAGAGATCAATTGAAGCCAACCTTCAGTGTGAAGATGGCACCTGATTGATAAATAGAGTTTAAAATACTTCTTGTTAAAATACTTCTTGTGTCATCTACAGGACGAGACCAGACCACTGAGATATCCATGTGCAAGAAATCCCTTATACACAAACCACATATGAAACCAAAGAAACTCTCAGTGAGTCCATAGGGTCACTGTCCCTAACAAGCAAGCCGTAAATTAGGAGTTTTTCTTACATAAGATGCGTTGGGCTGAAAGGCACAAATATCACAGTCTAGTTGTAAACCGCAAAACAGCACAGCAGCCATCCTTTTAAGGGTGAATATGGAAGACACAGAAGAAGAAGAAGAAAACCATAGAAACCTTCGATCCTGCTTCTTTCAATTTTCCCTGTTGTGTCTTTCATTAGCAGGCTAGAACAACTGTTATGGAGTGAATGTTGCTGCGATCTGCATTATATTAAAACATAGCAAAACTGATGTAACTTAAATTGTGACAGTCTTTTCTTCTAGTTCTTCTGCATTTACCCAAAAAGAGCAGTTGGTACATTGTGTTGTGGTTTACAGCTAGGCTGCAAAATCTGAGCCTTTGGACCAAATACATTCCGTGTTAGCAAATCCCTAATTAGTTGCATTTTACAACATGCTTGTCAAGAGTTGGTGAACCCATTTTGTTGCTGTTAATCTGTTAATATTTCCTTTTATTTTTATTTACATTTTTTGGCTCTTTTGTGATATCCTACCCCCAGATGACATCACACACAGTCCAACATTTTAGAGGGTGGTAAGACTTGCTAACCCAGCTTTCTGATACTTTTAATGACACCAAAACATCTAGAACTGGCCCTAAACCCAACCCACCTACGTCCCATGAGAGAGTGCAACCTAGGTCCCACGACTGCATGCAGTCTATCTACCAACCCCTGAAATATTAGACTGTCCCATGACCTGTGGATTTCCCCCTGTTTGGAGTAGGATATTAAGAAAGCACCATTTTTTTTCTCCAAAAATGGATTACCAAAACCCACAGGGTAAGACTAGGGACCCCTAAACTAAAAAAGCTGGTAACTTTGCTACTTACTGTCATGGTGATCCTTGGAGCATCAGAGATATCATTACCAGCCAGTGTCCACTTGGCTGTTGGTTTTGGTGTCCCACTGTAAGGTACTCTGATGGTGAACTCCTGACCTGCCTTTACATTGACATCTTTAACTGCAGATGCATCCAGCTTTGGTTTTTCTGTATTCAGAGAACAAAATTTTGACTGCCTACATTATAACCATAATGTTCATAACCCTGAACTTAAATTGTCTATCCCAATTATATAGTTATAAAATTGCATTATACAAGACTGATTAAATGCAAAATCTTTAGAGTTCGAGTAACAAAATAACTCACTGATGAAATTATCCTGATTTTGTTTTATAAAAGCCATGAAATTATTTCAAGTGAAAACACTCACACATTAACTCTTTTAGTCCCAAGGAACACATCATCTCTTCAAAGGTTCTGACCTACAAGCCCTACAAATGCAGGGTGCACTAATTTTATGTCTTTTTCTACCACAGCATGGTTCTTTGATGCTAAACCCTCTGTGACTGAAAGAGTTAAAGGAAAAATCTGTAGGTTATTAACTCTTTCAGTCTTAAAGAACTCATCATACGTTACAAGTTCATGAAAGAGTTAATGAAGCTGTTGATTATTAACAGTTGGAGAACTGCCCCCTCCCCAACCCTACTCTCTAATAGTGCGATTTGCATTTAATACTGGCAATACAGTTAGCTACAGTAAGAAAACTGTACATGCATCACATCTGCAGAAAGTAAGCTGAAGCTAAACAGTTACTAGTCACGAGAAAGAATGCTAAAGGTTGTACCTGGCTGATCCTCAATCTTGATGACATTTGTAGGCTTGCTTGGTTCCCCAGGACCTGCTGCATTCTCAGCAATGACCCGGAACTGGTACTCATCTCCTTCTGCCAGGCTTGGTATGACAGCATTGAGCTGACTTGCAGGCAAGCTGGCACATTCAATCCAGTCCTCGCCTTTCTTTTTCTTCTCAACCACGTAGCCAGTAATTTTGCTGCCCCCGTCATTTGTTGGTTTAGCCCATGAAAGGGCCACTGAGTTCCTTGTGATCTTGTCAACAATGGGTATACTTGGAGCAGCAGCGGGGACTAGATTTATGTGAAAAAATAATGTTGTCAATTACAACTTTATGTCACTATTATTATTCAAAACAATAAAACAAACTCACAGAGCATGTTGAGAAAGGTGGAGACAGGCATGCTCCGTGCAGAGTGGCTAGCGTCACTTCAGAGGTCCCGGGTAGTTAGTGTCCTTTGGTGTTTTCTCCAGGCTATGCTGGTGTGTTGCAAAATGAGTAGGCAGATAGACTGGCTGGCTCTGTACCACGTGGTGAACTTATGTATGACAAGCTAGAAATTGTGAGGGCTCTTTGGGAGCGAGTGATCAGTGCGGAAGTACAGATAGATCATTACACACCATTACAGTCTGAGGAGAATGGTGCCGCGAAGAGTTACCAGG